GACCCCCAGCGGGACCCCGCAGGCGCACCCCGCCCCGCAACCCCGACCCCCGGCGGGACCCCGCAAACCCCGCAACCCCGCTGCCCCGCAGGGTACCCCCGCCACCGCACCACCGGCTCCGCAACCCCGCTCCCGCGCTGCGGCAACCCCGCGCTGCGGCAACCCCGCTCCCGCCAAGGGAGGTCCGCGCCTCCGGGGGGGACCCCGTGTCGGGGCATTTTTTGGAGGACACAAAAAATGCCAGGGGCTGCACGCCGGCGGTGCGCACCCCCCTCTGTTTTTTTTTTTTTTTTTTTTTTTTTTTTTCCCTACAGGGGGCCGGGGTCCCGGGTGCCGACCCCCGGAACCCCGGCGGGGTCCCGGGGCCGGGGGTCGACAACCCTGGAGGTAGGGGGTGATTCCCCAACTATCTTTGTGTCAAGTGGGTTCATCATCACAAGAAAGGATATGTCATCCTTGAATGTGTACCGTGAGGTTGACTACTAATACACAAGAGTTTGCAAGGAACGGATATTTGGTATCGGAGGGTGAAGCGGTGAGGCTTGATCCTTGAGCGGGGTTCGGGAGTCCCTTTAGGGAATTACACTGCCCCTTAGCACAATATACTCTTGTCAAAGCCAAGGGCGTAGAATGTAGTACTCTCATTATTTTTGCATCCAAAAACATTTATCATTAAAAATATTGACTACAGCATGAATGTTGTCTATGATCGTAACAGATACCATAAGTTTTTCGTCATCACCAATGCATGCATATGCTTATTAGGCTTGTCTCTTCGCTTGCTAAAACTATTTACATACTCAACTATTATAATTATTAACTATTTTGATTACTATGACAGTATATCCGCACTATGAGTAACACTCATTATAATAAATTATGACTTTCAGAAATTGCAAATGCATTACTATCACAATATACTATTATGACCTGCTTTGAATGGTCTTAGGCATTGGAAATTAGCAATGGTGGTAAGATATGGTTCGAATATTACCTTGCGGGAAGAATATCGTAGGAAGGAGAAACTCTGTGTAGTGATGGGAGGTGTTTAATGGACGTTTCTCTGTGTGAGCAAGACCTAAGGGGTAGCTGAAGAAGGTCAGAATGTCGTATGCTAAGAAAGACCCCAATATAATCTTGCCTATGTAAAAGGAGGACGGACTAAAGATGTCCTTGCCAAGACGAGTCAGGGAGAATGGGTGTATCGCTTCATGGTGGGGTACATCTTTGAATGAGGGTATCTTTATTTGGATTGAATCTGACTTCGAAGATGTTGGAGACAGTGCAATCGTGAAAGTAACCATATGCATCTCATTATCCTTTTGGGTTACACTTGGTATTGAGCTGACACTGGGAAGTGGAAGTCTGCTCGCGAGACCCTTAAGGCTAGCTGCGATAGCTGTCGCAAAGTGGGCAAGAGGAATATGTCGGAAAAGAGAGGAGTCAGTATTCATTGTTATAGAAGTTAGAGATGCTGAGCAGTTGTACTCCCCACAACGCCGTTGCAAGCCGTCCTACCCAAGTTGCTTATGGAGGAGTATTTTGGAGGACGAGAGAAAATAAAGGCAGTAGCGGAGGCCGCTTTGGTAGTACGAGAATGGGGGCACAAGCGTTATACAAGCAAGGTAGTATACGATCTGTGCCTAGAAATGGGATCCGTGCTCCTCAACCAAGAACTTCAAAGCACGACTTACATTGTTAGCGCCTACACTGATTCTCACGATCCGGACGAAAGGTTTGAATACTGGGATGAACTCTGAATGGAGGTATGCAGGCAGTGAATGTTATTACTTCCTTCTAGCAACTAATGTTCTTATTCGAGTATCTTTTAATACAACTGTTTGCTCTATTCGCGCCTTTTGAGGTCAGTGCAGAGGATAATTGCTTCGTCAAATAGATGTCTAAAGCTTATGCCCTTGTATCCTTTTGGACATGTTAAGGTGAGAATAGAGGAGCTTATTGAACATCATCTTCGGCTTACGGCCTAATGCTTAGTCGCTTGCTGTATTTGTACAGGAAAGCAGCGAAGGCCATAGTTGGAGATGGTGGTTTGGATAAGGTCATTTTTTGGATGAATTTATTTATCGCTAAAGTATTGACACGCGAATCTGTAGACGAGTCAATGCCCCCAGACCTTAGAGCTCTGTTGTTTCAAGGGAAGAACCTGCCTAACTTTTTGAGCGATTACCACAGCTTCATCCTTAGGAAGAAGTGGGATGAGAGGGCGATGTTGACTATGTTCCCCTTGTTCGTATGTGAGGGGTTGGGCGAGGAAGTATACGATTTTGTGTTGAGATCACGAACTTGGAGTGAACTGGAAAGTTTGTTGAGTTTGAGGTTTCCCGAGCACGAAATCGACAGTCGTCATTGTAAAGACCTCGATCGAGTGATCGGTGGTGCGTCGTCACAAGGGAAACTACACAGTATACAGAAACAGGTGAGAGCATTGGAAGAGAGAATGACACAACTAGAAAGGGACAGAAAAAGTCAGTGAAAGGTCTCAGAGAGGAGGTCGGACGAGCTAGCTGGTAGTAGTGGAGAGAAAACGAATGATGATAATCAAGGTTCTCTCCAACCTGCGAAAGCTGAGAAGAAGCGATGTGATAACCAAGTTCGAGAAATAGTTGAAAACGTGATTGAGATAAAAGAAGAGCCTAGACCTCGGAAGTTGGCCAAGACCCAGCGGAAGGCAAGAAACCGAGCTCGAATGGTCCATGACTGTGATCAAGATCAAGATTGGGAAGAGGTCGAGGCAATGGTAGACGAGGAAGTTGTGGTCATGGTAATAGGGGCCTCAGAAACAATGGTAGAGGTAGTGATAGCAGAGGCAATAAGAGAAGTAATAATAGAAATTGAAGCGGCGTCAGGAGCCAAAGTGC